CTGTCCTCATTACAAATCTTTGAAGAGAAATGTAGAAAATAAATCAAGGTAACTTATAAGTGTATGTCAATAATTCTGCCAATACGTCTTTAGGTCGGTGCTTTGATTAGGATGAACCTCTGAGTACACGCGCCCACATACACACACACACACACACACACACACACACACACACACACACACACACACACACACTTGTTATTATGGACCATCAGAAACCCACTGTGCTGTTAACCTGAGTGTCAAATTAAGTTTGAATGTTATGCAGAAAACAATACGTATGAGATGAGATTTTCATTTTCTAAATCACTCGGTATAATTGAAGCAGAGGATGGGAAGCAGACAGGGTGCAATGAAAACTACCTCTCCCTTTCTCCGTCTCTCAATAAGAGCCGTGCGCTCCCGTGTTTCCTCAGGCTGTTGGATTGAAATCTCCATCTCTAATATGACATCAATTTTTAATTAAAGGCCCCAGATCCCACTCAGATTCCTGAGTGTTCGCCGACACATTTATTTCTCTCGCTTTCTGCAACAGACCTCATCCGCTCACGCTGGGAGATTTCTCCTTCTGTTACATGATTAAAATCTGCAAACGGCTCTGCCCTTAGAACTAATTATTCCACACCAAGACAAGAGGCGCGAGGGAGGGCGAGAACACAAAGGGGAGAGAAAGGTAATTTCGCGCAAGAAACAAGCCGTTTGACTCTTAATGAATAATTGATGCGGGCTTCAAGGGGGTCACAAGAGCGCAATAAACACCCACTTTTGACCCCGGATGCAGGACAAACATCAGTCTCTCCCTTCCTTCCTTCCTCTTCACCTCTGTCTCCTCGCCCAGTTTCGCATGGCCCGATCCCACTTGAACTGACCATCTGAAATGATTTGGATGAGCTCCATTCAGCGAGGCTTGTTGAACCCAGGGCTAATTCAGTATTCATGGCGAGACAGTGGCTGCTGAATTGGCTATCAAATTTTTGCATTATACCGTATTGACAGAGCGAACGTGCAAACGAGTGCAAATCAGCATGGTCTAATCTGAGAAAAAGGAGACAGGTTTGGACGGTTGGGAAAGAGTGACGTGGGCTAAGTATGGAGACAGAAAGAGAGAGTTTGTGTGTTCACAGGCGCATTCTGAATATATACCGCTATATACATTTTTGGAGAGCGCCAAATACGTCCCAGAAGCTAAGTTTTTTTGCAGTTTTTGTTTTCGTGAATCCACCAGAGGCCGCTGTATATGCTTTTTGAGATCTCAGATTTCTCCCGCAAGTGCCATTCACACTTGCTGTTCACATGTAAATCTGCCCGAGGCCACTGTAGACTGACTGAATGACTGACCGATCGGCTGACCCACCCTCTTCCTTCCCTAAACCCAACCAATAGTGTTTTCAAAAGCACGATTGACCCGCATTGTTCGTTTTAAAAATGAAATGCAGCCATACGTGCTTCTGGCTACATAATTTGCGATCTCCAGAAATGTATACAGGGCTACATTTTCATAATGAGCCTATGTTGGTCAAACACACTGCCTATTAAAGGGATAGTTCACCCTAAATAAAAAAATCTGTCATCATTTACTAAACCTTCACTTGTTAAACAACTGTCTGAGTTCCTTTTTCTGTTGATCACAGAAGATGTTTTTGGAAAAATACTGGAAATTGACTCCTATAGTAGACTGTTTGATTTTCCTTCTGGATAAATATTTCTAACGTGTTCAAATTACTTGTGTTCAACAAAAAAAAAGAAACTCATAAAGCTATGAAATCATCTGCGTGTGAATAAATGTTCATTTGTTTGGCTGAACTATACTTTTGATAATGTGTGAATAGATGCACACTAAAACGCGTACTAGACAATTGTATTGGAAAAATGTATGCAGACAGTAAGAGACTTACATTAAAGGAATAGTTCATCTAGAAATTAAAATTAACTCGTAATGTACTCATCCTTGATGTGTGTGTGTGTGTGTGTGTGTGTGTGTGTGTGTGTGTGTGTGTGTGTGTGTGTGTGTGTGTATATATAGAGATGGGTTGTGGCTGAAAGGGCATCCGCGGCGTAAAAACGTGCTGGATAAGTTGTTGGTTCATTCCACTGTGGCGACCCCAGATTAATAAAGGGACTAAGCTGACAAGAAAATGAATGATTATATGTATATATGTATTAAAGTGATTATATGTATGTAAGATGAATATATATATATATATATATATATATATATATATATATTTTTTTTTTTTTTTTTTTTTTTTCCTTCTTTCAATTGAACACATTCAGAGTAGTTTTAAATTCTATCCTCATCTTTTCCTTCTGAAAAGTTGTTGACTAGCTTTTATTTTAAAGCTTTCAATAGCACATAAATTCGTCATCAAACTAACCCATACACTGTGGGGTTAACAGATGTCTTATGAAGCTGATTAATATGTTTTTGTGACAGAAATATTTCAAATAATACCTAATTTCCAGCAGCATCCAAATACACATTTTGCCTACATGCTAAAAAATGCTGGGTTCCACACAATTTCTTCATGTTGTCACAACACAAATCGATTCACTAATTGAAGTTAACTTAAAGTTAAAAAAAATTTAAGTGGATTGAAGATTATTTTTTTTAAAGTCTCAAAAAATAACCTAAAGAATTGTGTTGTTTCAACTTAATTTAAATAAGCAGTTTAAACAAGCAGCAAAAGTCATTTTTGAATATATGTATACGACTGTAATATAACCGAAATATATGACATCAAGTGGTATAAACAACACTACACATCTGAGAACATGAACAGTTTGGTCAATACTAATGTAGTAATAATAATGGAGTAGTAATAATGCAATTAAGATGCTTAGTTGTTGGTTTATTGCAATTATTAAAGGTTTATGGCATATTTTAATAGAATTGATGATTTTAAGCTGAATCCCAACAGATTAATTTAAGGATGAGTTGAAAATTGCTATGCCATATTGGCTAAATCTCAACATTGCAGGTTGCTGACATTTATTTGGTACACTGTTGTTTTACTAATCCTTTGCAATCTTTTGTGGCTTAGCGGTTAACATGGTTGCCTCACAGCAATAATGTCCCGGCAGAGGGAGGATGCATTTCTTTGCATAGATTGCAAGTTCTCTCTGAGGTGTCCCCCGGGTGCTCTGATTTCCCCAACAGTCCAAAGACATGCTGCACAGATGAAATTTGCTCTAGTGTGAAATTTTGTGTGTGAATGTGAGAGTGTGTATTTCCCAGCACTGAGGGTTCACGAGCTAGTGTAATTTAAGTGCTGGGCTACACTGTAAAAAAGATTTGTTAATTAACATTTTCCGTATTTTGTGATTCGTAAGTGTTTTTCATTTATATATGGTTGTGAATTGCATGATGCAACCTTGATTTCTGCTCTGTCGACTTTTGATGTTAACGATTAAACTCTACACTTTAACAAAAAGTGAATTTTATTGACATTTTAGTCGTTTGAACTAATGTAATGCAAAAATTAATTTAGAGAGAAAAAAAGTCTGTACAGAAAACAGAATGTACTGGCAGTTTATTACAAGGTTTTTGTGGCATAATATACAACACTAACCCAGACATTATATCATTTTAAACTATTAAAATGTTAATAAAAATTAACTTTTTGGAACTTTTCAAGTTTAAAAGTTATTGGAGGAAAGATCAGGGTCATATAATGCAACTCAAAAGCATAAATAAACAGGGGAAATAAAAAAATAAAACATAAATCACAAAATATCTATACTGCTAATTTATTTATTTTTTTTATTTTTTATTTTTTTAAATAAGTTATTTATTTTTATTTATTTATTTTCAATTTTGTACAGTGATAGCAGGAAGGGTATCCACTGGTAAAAATGTGTCAGAATAATTGGTGGTTTGTTCCACTGTGGCCAACCATGATAAAGAAGGAAAATGAGCGAAGGAAGCGAGTGAGAAAATAATTAATCTGTAAATTACAAGTTGGGTTTTTTCTTAATTTGTTGCATGTGTTTGTAAGCATATTCACTGAATTGCTTCGAAAAACCTGGCTTAAAGTGAACTAAGCATTAGAAAAAAATTAATAATAATAACACATTTATTTATAATGTGCTTTTCTAAGACCCAAAGTGCTTAAACACAAGTATTGGATTGGTACTTTGTATTAGCAGACACTCAATATTAAATAAATCTTATTGGATCACGGGAACAAACAAATAAGGAGGGTTTTTACTTTCACTATATGCTGACCCCAAACCTTTAATAATTAGCGTAAAATGATTTCCATAAGCCAAAGGTTTTACATCCAATTAAACTTAAAACATGTTTGGTTGCATCAGAAAACCAAGAACAAAACTAAACAATAAACAACACTGTGTGTAATTAAATATGGCTTCACTTGCAGTGAAGGAAAACCAGCCACATGTTTTCGTGCTATGAGTTATTGCCTCCCAAGAGCAACAGCACTATAAAGATTATGTGGAACTAGAAGCACAGTTTCATAAGTCTCTTTCCATGTTGTTCTTCCAATTCAGTATCGTTCTTTAAGCGAAGCCATTTGAGTACCACTCTGTAAAAAACATCTGATAATTATTTTATTATTTAGTATTTTGTGATTCCAAAGTGTTTTCATGGTTGTGAACTGCATTACAGGACACTGATCTCTGCTCTGTCGACTTTTGATGTTAACAAAGTGACTTTTATTGACATTTTAGTAGTTTGAAATAATGTGTAAGGTATTCTATAGAGAGAAATAAGTCTGTTAAATAACAGACAATGTACTGACAGTTTGACAGTTTATTAGAGGGTTTTTGAACTGTAATGTACAACAACAACAACTCAGACAATATATATTATTTTAAACTATTAAAATGTTCATAAAAGTCACTTTTTAAAACTTTTTAAGTTAAAACTTGTCGGAAGTAAGGTCAAGGCCCCTTTATACAATTCAAAAGTATAAATAAGTGGGGGGGAAAAATAAATCACAAAATATGGAAAACTGCTAATTTATGAATATGTTTTACAGCATGTAGAAGAAAGGGCATCCAGCGGAAGAAGGGAAAGAGCCAAATGAAAGTGAGTGAGTAAATAATTAAACTACAAATTACAGGTTGGATTTTTTTCTTAATTTGTTGCATATGTTTGTAAGCATATTCACTGGATTGCTTTGAAAAATCTGGCTTAAAGTGCACTTAGCATTAGAAAAACACAAGTATTGGATTGGTACTTTATATTAGCAGACACTCAATATCAAATGAATCTGATTGGATCATTTGAACAAACAAACAAGCAAACAAATAAGAATAGCTTTTACTTACACTTAAACAGAGACTTGCTAAGCATGAGAGACTTCTTGCTGACCCCAAACCTTTAAAAGTGAGCTTAAAACAATTTCCATATCTTTGTTCTTTAAGCCAAAGGCTGCGCATCCAATTAAACTTAAAACATGTTTTGTGGCATAAGAAAACCACCAACAAAACTAAACAATAAACAGCATTGTGTGTAAATTAAATATGGCTTCATTTGCAGTGAAGAAAAGCCAGCCACATTTTCTTAATGCCTCCCAAGAGCAACAGAATGGTAAAGATATGTGAAACTAGTTGCACAATTTCAATTCCATATTGTTCTTTCTATTCAGTATGGTTCTTCAGGCAATTTGAGTACCACTTTTTTTCACCAAAAAACGATTCACAAGTGTTTCTTTAAGGTTAAAAATTCCATTATAGGACCTTGATCTCTGATCTGTCGACTTTTAATGTGAACAAAGGGACTTTTATTGACAGTTTAGTAGCATTAAATAATATAATGTATAAGAAGAAATCTATAGAAAAATAAGCCTGTAAAATAACAGAAAATCTACTGGCTGTTTATTACAAGGTTTTGTAGCGTAATATACAACAGCAACCCAGACAATACATCAATTCAAACTATTAAATTGTTCAAATAAGTCACTTTTTCCAGCTTTTCAAGGTTAAAAGATGTTAGAAGACCGATAAATGTCATGTAAGGCAATTGAAAACCATAAATATATGGAGAAAAATAAAAACATAAATCACAAAATACGTAAAACCGCTAATTTATGAATATTTTGTACAGTGTATTTTCTACAATTTTGACTTGTAAATATTACTGATGGTCTTATATGTAATGTTAGGTATAGCTGTGTGGCAGAAGTGGAAAGGACAGTCTAATGGGAGAGAGGTTTGATTCTGTCAAAGACCCAAACACCATCATAAACTATATCTGTTCTCTCTGCTTTCCCCCATGACCGAGAGCACAGCTGATGCGCAGAGTAATGGGATTCTCCATAGTATTATAGGACAGGCTCTAACAGGCAGTTTAGATCTCATCTATTTGACCCCATTTGCACTTGTTAGGCTCATTCATGGAACGCATCAAGAATCAGAGAGAGAGAGAGAGAGAGAGCAAGAATATAAAAAGGGTGGGGAACAAAACTGAGACTCTTGATAAATTTTCTTGTAAGTAAAGTCATGTCTAATATTAAGGGGTGACTCTTACAGTGATATCATTTCCAAGGAACAGTACTGTGCTATCACTCTAGGGCTTTACATTAGCCTGAAGAACACTTACAACATACTGCTCCATTCTAGGCCTGAATGGGACCCTGTTATGCACATCTAATGACAAAAATAAGTGCTGAATTTAAACTTATTATTTACTCAAGTAACTTCAAAATCCTGCTGAGAGATTTGACCATGGATAGTAAACTATTTCGCTTTATTTCCCTGCTTTTCTGTGGCATTTTACACAGGGCTCTCATCAGTTTCAAAATTTAGTTCAATGTTGTTTTACATGAGAGTACGCATGTTAAAAGTATGTTCACTTTACTTTTCAGTTGTTCAGTTCTAACTTTGACCAAAAGATTTTTTATTGCTTAACTTTTAGCAAAATGTGTTCCTGTGGCTCAGGGGCTGGGGGTTACCACCCTAATCTCACAATGAAATGTTGAGATTTTGTAAAAAAAAAAAAAAAAAAGAAAGAAAGAAAGGACAAAAGTGTATAATATAATATAATATAATATAATATAATATAATATAATATAATATAATATAATATAATATATATTGAAAGATTGAGTATTCTTTCACTAGATTAAAGGTGCAGTAGGTGATTGTCTACAGAAACATTTTTTGTTGTGCTGGTTGTTGTGCTCTTTACATTCCAATAGCACAAATCAAAGTAAATGATCTAAATGTGTTCATATGTATTTATATATTCTGGAAAAATAAAAAATAAAATTCATCCAAATAAATATTGTCAGGCCGATAATTCCCATTCTTCTGATAGGTAGTCCAAATGGTCTGTCAGCAAATTGAGCAACTGCGCACCTCTGTTCATGCAGATCCACCGATGCGCATTTACACTGGCCACAGTCACGTGGACACAAGTGACAGTGCTAAAATCAAATGCTGTATCAAAACTTTTTAAAATCCTGAATCAATATTGGAGTTACTTTTGCATGCTGGAGGAAGGACAACAACACCATAGCTGAGGTATTTCAGTTAGACTGGTAATGTTATGTTCTAAAACTATTTTAGTCACGCAAAGCTGATCTAGATTGTCGTGTTATATGAATGAGTTATATGCACAGAACTTTTGTTCAGCCACTGAAATTTTCCGGCGAACGATTAATGTGACTACTTTTAGTTTCAAATGATCCTTTTACAACATCGATAATGTAGATTTTTATTTAGTTTAACAACAAAACATCAGCAAATAGCGCTATTCCACTTAGCCTGTTTCCTGAGGTGAAGATGCTTTTATATTCACATTGATTTGAACAATGACAGCCTGTGAGATGCTCCCTTTATTGTTTACCATGCTACTCTGAATATTTGGTCTGAAATAGTATATAAGTATGGCTTACTAATAAGTGTAATTCCTGAAGCCCGCCGGCCAATCATTAAGCATACAGTAGTCACTTTAGGAAAAAGCGTGCGAGAGAGAGAGTGAGACATAACTGAAAATGTGCTAGATATAAAACAGTTTTTCATCCAGAATTGTAGTATAATAAAGTACTATAAAGTTTTCTTTATAACTGGTGAATGTCATGTCATGAACTAGTGGATCTCTGTCATCTTTAATGTGTACATTCAAGATTTCAGGAGGTGTGCCTTTGGACGACCGAGAAGGTATTATGTTTGAAAGATATTATGCTAACATTTAGGCGGATCACCTTTTGCACCTTTAAATGAGTAAGTCTACTTTTTAAATTCATAACATTAGATTAATTGGGATGATTTCACAGGGCAGTTGATCTGCATAATATAAATTATTAAAAAAAAAACAATCACAAGCATTGATAAATACAGTAGAGCAAAGATACAAATTTAAAAAAGAGTATTTCATGATTTTCTGGGAGTCTAGCAGTATTCAGTCACAAATTGAATAATAAACACAGTCACAGGCCTTATAAACACATGCAAATGATAAACTAATTGGTGTATTTATGATTAAAATTTCCAATGACTTCTCAAATCATGCTTGTTTTGAACTGTGGCACCTGTTCAACTATAATATCATCTCAACATTGCACATCCTGCAATGTGGCTATTGAATATTACACTGGTTTAAGCCATAAACAATTAAGTAATAAGTAACTTAGATATTAAGGATTTTAGATTCAGGAATTTAAAAATGAAGTAAACGTAGGGGAGCAACAATGAACGCAATATAACTCTGTTTTCATCCAGCCCTGAAGGTTTCGCCAGCAGATGCCTGTGTCACACCCTAATGATGTCAGCAGATGCCTCTGTCACACCCTGATGAGGTCACTGCAATGCTCCGGTAGTACAATAACCATCTGTCTACTTCCACAGATGGTGACAGATGTCTGTGCTTCAAATAAACTGGATGTAGCATCAAGTCCATGAAGAAACTTATCTTTCGACAAGTCGTGAAAAACTATTTAAAGCCCTAAACCTCTGCAGACTCAAACTAAAAAACGATGCTTCTTTCCATCTCATAATCTGCCACCATTCATTTTCTTAAACTTGTATTCTGTGTAAACCCCAATGCTGGAGGAAAACCTTAATTTGAAGGTGTTAAGGCATCAGCAACAACATAAAGAAAAACTAAACAGTGTGAAAAGCCTTTAGTAAATGCCTGAACAAGTGGAAATGCAAGAACAGACTTAACACATTTTATAAACTGCGTCAGGTTTGAATGTATGCACACACAATGCAGAATGTATTAGTCTTTGCTTAGTGTTTATTTGTATACGCTGTAAAATTTGAGCATGTTAGCAATTATTATATTTAGGGTGATATTATAAGTATTATAAATTAGATGTCTAAATTATATGTATTTAATATACAATTAAAGTGATGTTTAACAGCAAAAAGACAGCATCACAGTATTTCCTGTAATATTTCCCTCTTCTTTTAGTTTGGCTGGAATAAAAGTACTTTTAAAATTAAGGTCAAATATTACTGGCCCTCTTAAAAATTTTACTTGATTTGGTACAGAATAAACCATTGTTGTCCAATGTCTTGCATAGTTAACATGATTAGTTAGGCCAGAGGTCTCAAACTCAATTCCTGGAGAGGCGCATCTTTGCACAGTTTTGCTCCAACCCTAATCAAACCCAGCGATCCAAATAATCAAGGTGTTCAAGTCTACTAGAGACTATTAAGCAGGTGGGAGTTAGAGGTGGTTGGAGCCAAACTATGCAGAGCTGTGGCCCTCCAGGAATTGAGTTTGAGACCACTGTGATCATGAAAAAAAAAGAAATTAGTTATTTAAAACTTATGTATTATAAACTATTAAAACGAACACTTCTCTTGGATAAAAAGCACCTAAAAATAATTTGGATGGATAATAAATTTGTCTTCAACTTTATAATTTAACAAAAAGTGAATATTTGATCAATATAGCCATATTCAGATATCTAAATGTGGTCACACAATAAATGTGTTAAAGTCATATGTCAAAAAAAATGTTAATGTGTAAAATATGGCTGCATTATATCGGACAACAGCTGACATTGCAATATTTAGTTTGTTTGCGATATATATTGTGATATGAATATAGTTTCACAAGATGATTTAAACTATATTTGGAATTAATTTATAATTTTACATTGATTGGGCTTATTTTGTAGAGTGAAATGCAATACAAATTTTTTTTTTGGTTTTCTGTGGAATCTTATAGTATTGACAAATAATTAAATTTTAAATAACACTGTATTAGTGTAGAGTCTTCATTCTATAAATAATTAAATACAATTATTTAGGTTTTTGGGTGACGCGGTAGCGCAGTGGGTAGAACGTTTGCCTGAAGGTCACAGCAAGGTCACTGGCTCGAGCCTCGGCTGGGTCAGTTGGCATTTCTGTGTGCAGTTTGCATGTTCTCTCCGTGTTTGCGTAGGTTTCCTCCGGGTGCTCCAGTTTCCCCCACAAGTCCAAAGACCTGTTGGTACAGGTGAATTGGGTATGCTAAAATTGACCGTAGTGTATGTGAGTGTGTGTGTGTGAATGAGTGTGTATGTGTTTCCCAGTGTTGGGTTGCAGCTGGAAGTTGGCGGTTCATGCCGCTGTGGCGACCCCAGATTAATAAAGGGACTAAGCTAAAAAGAAAATGAATAAATGAATTTACGTTTATATATCTTCAAAACCTTCAAAACGCATATAAACGAAAATCTTTCGATCTATTTTAGGGTTAAACTTTGTGATGACATGTTCTGAACTGTGGTGCCGATCAACTATAATTCCAACTCATCATTGCAGATCCTTTAGTGGGACTATTGTAGATTCACACATTGCAATATAGATGCTGAAACATTTTATTGTGCAGCCCTAGTGTGAAATGTAAGACTCAATGTAATCACTCATGGGGGTTTAATGTGGTTTTTCTGTAAGAGCTGACTTGCAAGAGACCACAAACTCATCCATATAGACGTTTTTATCATTTAGTCACTCTTTACTTTTTTAAACCTGTTTGACTTTCATTCTTCTGTTAAACACAAAATAATATATTCTGGATCTGTACTTACAACTACTGAAGTCAATTGCTACAGGTTTCCAGCTTTCTTCAACATGTCTTAATTTTTTTGTTCAACAAAAGAAATAAACTCATAAAGGTTTTGAACTACTTGAGTAAGAGAATATAGAACTTGAGTACGTAAACTACCCCTTAAACTTTGTCACCCATAACCAGTGTCACATTTTTAACCTCTTTGATGAATTAGAAGACCACAAACAAGATGGACTAGACATCAGTTTTTGTTTGAGACATCGCACCATGACTGCAGTGTCCAAAGAAATTTAGTGGCTCCAAAGCCTATTCTGTCAATCCTTTACTTACACCCCCTTTTAACTTGGAAATTCATATTCTGTTTGTTAACGTTTATTAATGAAAAAACAAACCTATCAGATAGCCTAAATGTACCTGTAAATTGTAGTACAGAAGATGTCTTTTTCCCAAAACAGTAAGTTAAATGCTAGCTCTCTTAGACCCACAACATACTCAAGTATGTGAACACAGACACTTCTAGCTGTGGAAGATTTCCGGTATCATCGCCTTCCAAAATGTGTGACTCATAATGCAGTGCAACATGCTGCATTCTTAGTATTGCTGCAATCCAGAAACTCAAAAACTGTCAGCTTGCTATGTCAGGTCACTTGCTATCATGCCTGAACAACACTTCTAGTTTAATGTCATATACATGACATAACATGACAAAGGTAACTCTGTCGCCCTCTTGAGTACCGAGATTTTTTTATAAGGCACATACTCTTGCGATGCATTGTTTCGGTTTACATAGAGTGACCTTAATCAGACACCACTACAAAGTGATAGCTTGTCTTTAATCTGTACTCTAATGTAATCATGATCACTACCAAAGGCTTAGTCTCAATTAAGAAGTGCTTCAATATTTATATAATGACATTTAATAGAGATATAATTGGATGTTGACAGTAGGGCTTGTTTTAGTAATCTGGTGCATTCCTTTCTATATGTTAAAACAGGAGATACTGCTTGTGAGATCCATGCCAATAATACACATCTCTGGGAAGCTGGTGGATGAGAGATTTACATGAAAATTCAGTCAAGCCACACAGGTGGTAAGCATCATATTACTGTGCCTTTGGCCTTTAGAACTGTGCTTTATCTGTTTGTTAGCCTGAGTGATGAAATGGGAGTCAATCTAGGGTACAGTCTCTGAATTTACTTGTACTGTAAACCTGGCAAGACAAGGGTCGAGACAGGCCTTGTTGAGTCACAGAATATCTTAAGGTTTATGGCATACAAACAGATTTTTAAAGATTTTTAAACGGCTGCACGTTTGCATGTTCTCCCCGTGTTCACACAGGTTTCCTCCGGGTGCTCCGGTTTCCCCCACAAGTCCAAAGGCATGTGCTGTAGGTGAATTGGGTAAGCTTAATTGTCCATAGAGTAAGTGTGTGAATGAGTGTGTATGGGTGTTTCCCAGTAATGGGTTGCAGCTGGAAGGGCATCAGCTGCGTAAAATATATGCTGGATAAATTGGTGGTTCATTCCACTGTGGCGACCCCTGATTAATAAAGAGACTGAGCCGAAAAGAAAATGAATGAATTATAAAGTACAGCAGTAAACACTTTACAATAAAGTCTAAGGACTAGTTCTTAATTAATGGGTTAAAGTCAACTTTTCAAAATAGCCAGATTTATTACAGATATGCAGTATAAATATTTTTTAAAAACAACCGAATTGTATTAGTTATGATTATGACTTGTAATCAGATTATGACTATACGATTTAAACATTTTATTAGGCTATAGTTGATAAGTTAATTTTAATTGATAAATTCCATTGTGAGTTTGGTTTAATTATTATTATTCTATAATTATGGCACTTACTCTGTAAGTAGTCACTGAATTTTCAGTAAATATTTGAGCATGTAAGCCAGATTAATGTAACAACTTTATTGTTTAAGCTATTAAACTAACTAATTAAGTATAGACTGTTTCAATGTGGTGATGTCATTGAACATGTCCGGCCTGTTGTCAAACTTGATGTTATAACAGCTATTGTAACATTATTTATCAATATGTGGAACTTTTTGGACTCTCAGAAGATATGGAAATTTAAAATATAAAACAGCTATGAAATACGTCGGGACCATCGTTATTGTTTACATCCCAAAACAAAAACATTTCCGGTACTCTTTCATCAAAATCTGATCATTTGCTTCCACTCTCGGTGAAATATGCATAGCCACGCCCCTCTGAATGTTAGTTTGCTAAGTAAAATATTAAAGGAGGAGTACAAAAATTAAACCCTGCCCCCTCCTCAATTTTCTGTTTCAGGTGGAAATGCATCATCAAGCTGAATTAAAAAGTCTGCAGCAAATTTGAGTTTATGCAAACTTTAAAAAAAGATGGTCTTGACTCTTTTTCAGGTTTCCTTGACCAATCACAGCTAGATTTGTTCAGCATTGTGTTCAAGGTTATCAAAATGATGTCCCTACAACAGACTTGCAAGAAAACCACACAAGCCGCAAAGTCACAAAGCACATACTTTTGAAAATCAAGAGTTTAGCTGATAAATGCTTGTTGTCACAGCTGTAAACACTTTCAGTTTGCTGTCATTATGGCATTGTTTCCAAGCGGACAAAAAAGTCTCTGAAATCCTGTACAATTAATCAAATGAGATACTGACTTCAAAGCTCCTGATGTCTTCCCAGTTTTATTTATCATTGTTTGCTTTAATTTTTGTTTAATAAAATATCTATCCAGTCAGAAATGTCCATCTAAACTGAATTGTTGTAAAAACACAGGAATCTTTCAATCTTATTGATAGCATGATGTGACAAAAAAATGTGTGAAATTTTGTTAATTGGTGTTTTGCACACACACAAACACACACACACATTCTTAATTTATTCATATATTTTTTTAATTTCTCTGCCAAGGCCAAAGCTTCCCGCACACACCCAGACAGATGGACTGTAGTTGTCTGATTTTAATGTCTGTGTTTAGTTGATTTTCCCTCATGGCTGTGTAGAAAATGGACTGCCGGGTCTGAAATATTGCATCTTGTAACTATATTAATTTAATGAGCTCATAATGAGTATGATACTGGGCCAATATCATCAGCATAAACACATTTAATGTGGTAATTGCCAGCAATAAGCTCTTGACTGAATGACATTGTTCTGTGGAGAAATCACTTAAATCGTCACAATCAGGAGAGAAAGGGGGTGAACAGGATGACCACTGATGATCTGAATATTGAAATATAGATTAGAACAAGCTGTTCATTTTATATATATTTATGTTCAGTAAATCTTTTATTATTTAACCTTATTGTTCTAAATTTACCAGAAATATATAGGTTTACAGTGACATTCATGTTAAGGTTGCACTGCACTGATAGTGGAATATAATGAGTAGTCATACTGATATGTGCTTCTAAGCAAGAGGAATTATTGTGGATGGAAAAAAAAACACAAGAGTGGGGATTTAAACCTCTATTGTTTGCTGATTAGGTAGAAAAATGCAAGTTTGCCATAGATTATAAAAAGGGTGGGTTTATGATGTAAGTCTGTAATTTCAAAGCCATTTTAATTCAATTAAATTACAACCTCAAAAAGGGGGAAAAAACATGCAAGGATAAATGATTTACAATATAAAGCATTTAGAAAACTTATTGAACATGTAGATATCAAATAGATCATACTGTGAAAGCTACAATACAACTGGAAAGATATGGTTAATCAGCTAAAATGTATTCCAGAGTGAAAGATGTATTTAACCCAGACTCATTGGAAATACCTGCCTAAGACTACATATTTGCGAAATAAAAAAAATAGTTTTTTCTTGGTACATTTTGTTGCATGTTTCAAATGACAAATCCACTAGAGGGCGCTGTTTATATTTTGCGATTCTGAAATACATTATTTAAGGTGGGTTTTGTAGTGTTTCAGAGACACGTCCTTCTTGTACACATCCATGAGAAGTGGGGCTTGTCTTACAATTTACTTTACACTAAACCGCTGACCTAAACCACAACCAACACTGTCTTGCAAAACCAAACACAAGGGAAAAGTGCATTGCAACCTTTTATCTGCTTTGTGGAACTGTGCTTTATCAGACTGTAACATGAGCACTAAGCATGGAACAACAACCGGTTTCAAGGTTTACCATGGTTTGTAAGTCAAATTTTAATATCTTATTTTATCTACTGTACATATCTGGAGATATAGGCGCTGAAGTGGATATATAAATCTGATTTGCTCCCTCTGTCAAAATCGAAGGATCAAGGGTATGTTCAAGTAAGCTTCCCTCATTCTTGACAAAGTGGAATGCACTTTAAAAAGGGAGGCGGGATTCCCTTGAGTTTCCCACATATTCCAAAGACATGCAGTATAGGTGAATTTGGTGAACAAGTCAAAAAGCTGTAGTGTATGAGTGTGTGTTTCCCGAGTGCTGGGTTGTGGTAGCAGGTGTTTTCATTTATTTACGCTGATGACTTGCATTATGGGAAACTCTGCAGTTTAACAAAGTGACTATTATTGACATTTTAATCATTTTAAACAGTACATTGTAAAGGAAATAATATGTATAGAATTAACTACTGTCAGTTTCTTACCAGGTTTTTGTACTGTACTTCTCTAATAGTATGTGGATGCAGAATTGTATATGTAAGCTGCAAATATCAGACATACAATATCTGACACAGTGCACTTAATGGAGCTAGTAACATTACTTTTAGGGGTGGGGTTAGTGTGTGCACTAAAAATAGTGCATGCAGCTCAGCTTGCAACTGCATCTAATCCAGACCATACCTGTTAACATTGGGATGTGAAAATAAGGGATATGTCCACCATAGAAAGGGATTTCACCCACCCCCCCTTCCCCCCACCCCCATGAAATCTCATAAGCCGTTTCTTCACTGTATAATTTACACATTCTGATTAAAGAGCAATGATGAATGAATGATTTAAAAAAAAATTTGTTTCATTACGTTAAATACACATCTAAACATCTAACGTTATAATGAAAGCATTCGACTGCTTCCCTAAATTTTTATGCTCATTTAGGACAAAATTAGTTGTGTTTGAAAAAAAAAACTAAGATCGACATCTTTAGATGTAATTATTATTATTAGTTATATGTATAAGTCTGTTCAAACATGCACCCAAAACCCAGACTTTCGCTCCGCTTCAAATCCCGAGTACAGAATCTGTTCAGCAGCGCCTATTTATCACTATGGAGGATTGCATATGAAAGGAAGACGGCACCTGTAATGAAAAGGAAGTTCATTTTATGTTTATTGCAAAGTGTTTTCATGTCCGAATAAAGCGAAAGCACAGAACAGACTCACATTTAAGAGTAAGGGCAGCCCCTGGTGGTTCGGCGGTATAGGTTGAGTATAGGGAGGCTCGGCTCTTTAATGTTTATTTACCACTCTTCATAGAAAGACTGAAAATATGGGAGAAATGCGGGGAAATTCCTTTACGGGATGATAGCAGAATAGAATTGTAAAATACGGGTGAATCCCGGGAAAAACAGGAGGGTTGACAGGTATGATCCAGACCCCTCTCTAATTTTCAACACCAGTTTTTTTTTCTTTGTTTACTCAAAAGATGTTGGTGTAAGGTCTCATATTGCAATTCATAAATGACAAAATAAAGAAAACTACTAATTTACACAGTATTTTTGTATTATACAATGGAGTTAAGCAATTTAAACAAGTTCAGTTTCACATAAGGGTCATTTTTGTCCTCAGCAGGAGTGCAATCATGCAATAATTATGTGCAATTACAGGGGTTTCATTCATTTACATTATTTAAACTCTACATTGTACAATAATTTCAACTAAAAAATTATTGACAGCTAATTTAAACAAATTGTAGATCTGAGTCTCTGCTATATGCGTGGCACAAAGAATCACAGTGGAAACAAGATACATACTGACTGATCATTTCACTTAGAAATAAATTGGGTATGTACCGAAGTATTCTAGCCGGGGAGTGGGGGGGTTGGGGGGTTGGGTGGGGGGAGGTTGAATGGTTCAAAAAACCCACCCCCTACTTACAAAGGTCCAGAGTTTGTCCCTACTTGAGCTAATTTGGCCCATTTTGAATGTTACTGTATGCCAATATAAATTGTGAAATTAACTCATCAGCTTTAAGACCAAGATAAATCTGATGTACGTAGGTGAAGTCATCTTTCACTACTGTATTGTTGTTAAATAGAGAAAACATTTTACAAGTAACTTTGGATTTTTACAAGTAAACCTTTTTTTTTCTTGACCATTAAAAAGGTGTGAAGCACCAGAAGTAAATTC